AAGCAATAATCAGTCCCTCATGTTCAACATAAATAATGAGTAATCATTTCCTCAGTCTCAGGATGAGGGACTGATTACCTCAAACTCCTGATCTTCACCATTTTTCTTTGTATTTAACTGATGAATCCACTGTGCGGCGAAACGTTTCCTTATTAAAGATACCCCAAGTGTTGTACATGTGTCTAATTTATCAACATGTCGGTTCTCTGAACCATTTATTTACAAATGATGGTGTATAGACAGCATGATGGTAATACTGAAAAAGTAGCAAGAGTCAATGGAAGAGTGTTAGAGGCTGTCATCAAGCGGATATTTTGCCAGTAAGGCAGTCCAGAAGCTAGCAGTAGTGAGACGTATCTCTTACGTGCCTGACAGCGGATTCTGCAGCACTCTGCAAGAAATAATGCCGCTGACACCTTGAGTATGCACCACCTTCATGGACTGCCTACTTCCCAGTATCATCTACGACTTCTGGACAGGTTGAAGAATAACACTGAGTAACGAATCTCTCGCCTTAATCCGGTCTAGACGTCAGCAGTGACGTCAACACCAAAGAGAAGTGGGTAGCGTTACTGTTATTCACAGTGCCAACACTGTCAGGGTACCACACTTGACTCTTTGCGAACAGCGAGAGGACAGCATCTATACCACCAGACGGGCAGCAAACAGCAAATACACTCTGGCCTCACCCTTCTCAAGAACATCACTTCATTCGAGATCGTTCATCCCTCGAATGACTGGAGTCCAGAACACGTTCACACAACATACAAACATAAAAAGTTCATTATAAAAATTGAAAGCTCTAACTCACAGATGGTTCCAGCTTCATCCTGTTTCCTGTTTCTATGTTTCTTAACAAGAATAATGCATTAAACAAATTGATGGGAAAGGCTTTTAAATGAGTTGAGATAGGTCACAGCTCTTAGCTGTAATAATGTAGGAACTGTTACCCTGACCCTGGAAAAGAAGGAGGATCAAGCCTCTACCACATGGGTTTAGTGCTTAACATGAATAATAATAATAATAATAATAATAATAATAATAATAATAATAATAATAATAATAATAATAATAATAATAATAATAATAATAATTAACCTGACATTGTAAAATCTGTTGAGTGTAAAAGAAAAAAGTCAAAGGAGACCAGGAAATGGATAAGGAGGAAAACTTGGGAGATGAAAACTATAATGAAGGGAAAGGAAGATGAGGAAAGATGAAAGGAGAGAAGAAGGACAGCAAAACAGAAAGAAGGAAAATGAAAGAAGTTGAGGTGGGAGAGGTCATCTAAGATACTAACCCTTAATGGGAGGTGCCCCTCCCCTCAAATAGGTGGTGGTGGTAGTGATAATGGGAGTTATGGATTGATGGGGAACCAAGCCACCTCCCTCTCCCTTCCCTCTCTCTTTCTCCTTTCTCTAACTTCTCACTTTCCTCTTTCCTGGCCTCACTCCAAGAGTGGTCACAGGTCACCGAGGAAAAGGAAAGGAGGATAAGAGGGGAAAATTGAGAGGGAAGAAACGAGTATTTTATATGCTGTTATCATATCCACCCTATCTCTCCTGTCCTCCTGTGTCGTCAGGTCGAGTTCCCGTAACCTCTCCTCGTAGGACATGCCACTTAGCTCCGGGACTAGTCTTGTTGCAAACCTTCGCCCTTTCTCTAATTTCCTAACGTGCTTGGCTAGGCGTGGGTTCCAAACTGGTGCTGCATACTTTAGTATGGGCCTGACGTACACAGTGTACAGTGTCTTGAACGATTTCGTACTAAGGTATCGGAACACTATTCTCAGGTTTGCCAGGAGCCCATTTGCTGCAGCAGTTATCTGGTAGATGAGTACTTCCGGAGACGTGCTCGGTGTTATACACACCCCAAGAACTTTCTCCTTGAGCCAGGTTTACAGTCTTTGGCCACCTAGCCTATACTCTGTCTGCGGTCTTCTTTGCCCTTCCCCGATCTTCATGACTTTGCATTTGGCGGGGTCAAATTCGAGAAGCCAGTTGCTGGACCAGGTGTCCAGCATGTGTCCAGGTCTCTTTGAAGTCCTGCCTGATCCTCATCTGATTTAATTCTCCTCATTAACTTCACATCTGCGAACAAGGACACTTCTGAGTTTATCCCTTCCATCTTGCCATTCACATTATCCCAAAAATAGCACTGGTCCTAGGATTGACCCCTGTGGGATTCCGCTCGTTACAGGTGCCCACTGTTGCAGTGCCCTTCCTGTTATACGCGCCTGAAGCTCTAGCTTCTGCACTAATATCTTGTGAGGAACTGTGTCGAAGGCCTTCTTGCAGTCTAAGAAAATGCAATCAACCTACCCTTCTCTCTCGTGTCTTACTTCTGTTACTTTATCATAAAACTCCAGAAGGTTTGTGACACAGGATTTGCCGTCCATGAATTCGTGCTGGTTGTCATTTATACTCTTGTTCCGTTCCAGGTGCTCCACCACTCTCTTCCTGATAATCTTCTCCATGAGTTTGCATACTATACACGTCAGTGACACAGGTCTATAGTTTAGTGCCTCTTTTCTGTCTCCTTTTCTTAAAAATGGGAACTACATTTGCCGTCTTACATACCTCAGGTAGTTGCCCAGTTTCCAGGGATGTGTTGAAGATTGTGGTAAGTGGCACACACAGCATATCCGCTCCCTCTCTAAGGACCCACGGTGTGTGTGTGTGTGTGTGTGTGTATGTGTGTGTGTGTGTATGTGTGTGTGTGTGGTGTGTGTGTGTGTGTGTGTGTGTGTGTGTGTGTGTGTGTGTGTGTGTGTGTGTGTGTGTGTGTGTGTGTGTGTGCGTGTGCGTGTGTGTGTGTGTGTGTGTGTGTGTGTGCGAGAAAAAATTTCAAAGGCTATCTTTGCCGGAGGGCTTTTTCTCCAGTTTGTTGTTATTCTTACAGAACTGGAAGTCTAGAAAAGGCCGGACATAATGGAAGGTTCAATGGAATTTGCTGTTGACGAGTTCTGCAGTGCTGACACACCTTGGGGAGATGACCAAAATATCGTCGACAAATCTTAACTATTTTACACTGGCTAGTGTGAATGACTTCAGTATCTTCCTAAGTTGCTCCATGTTCAATCTGCTGATAACTGCGCTGAGTGGAGAACACGTGGTCATCCCATTTGACTGCTGGTATAAATCTGTCCCAAAATAAATGTGAAGTTGATGCAAAGTTCAACAATATCAAGGAAATCGTTGGCATTGGGAAGTTTAAATCATCAGTGACGCTTCCTCGTAAAATGATGACTGAATAGTGTGTGGAAACCTTTGTAAACAGGGAAGTGACATCATAACTTGTGAGGGGTCTTTGTCTCTTCATTATCGCTCCTGACCCTGTCCAGGAGGTCCTCTGAATGCCGATGGTGTGCAGGGATTATCAAGTGCTGCAAATTGATATGGAGCACTTCTAATAAGTTCTATGTCTTAGAGGTATTGCTTGTGTTTGTTTTAGGGAAACCTTATCAGCGGGCACGTCTGGGACTCCTAGACCTGCCCCTTTATTTGGATAGGAAAATTTAGTAATTCTGTTGACCTCAAGATTAATGAGTGGTTGACAGGTGTTCCAGTCCTTCAGATGATTCGCCATCTTGGCTAGATAGTCTTCACTGTTGATACTAATCATTACTCCGCCTCGTTGTTGGCAGTAGTAATGAATCACCTTTAGCTAGGATATTCAGTGAAGTTAAGTAACGGTGAGGTTGGACGGGACTGAAGTTTCTGTGATGGTGGCAGTGATGATGATACCTTGTATAAACCCCTTCTGAAAATCATTATCTGGGAATCGGTAACTTCTGGCTATGAAATTAAGTCATATTTTGCTGCTATGAAGTCCTGTCACAAAAGTGAGTCCTGGGGAGAGTATTTCTGTCTCGAGGTCTGTATGGGGTCGCGCGCAGAGATTATAAATAATTTCGGGTGTATGAAATTCTCTCCGCCTGCTTATGTCACAGAGATCCTCGAATTTCCGTGTGAGTCTGATTTTCTGCTGAACGTCGGCACACGTAACATTTCCGCGGGAAGATACGAGACAATGAAAGCCAAATTCAAGAAACGAAAACAAAGAAATGTTTTGATGCCTTCATTAGAAGATACTATAGTCTGAAATTAGAAGATAATATCTTCTCAAATTAGAACATACTGTATTTTCAAATTAGAATATACTATATTATCAAATTAGAAGATATTATATTCACAAATTAGAATATACTATATTCTTAAGTTAGAAGATTCCATATTTTCAAATTTCGGAAAAAAAAGCAGTGCACAAGGACGTTATTAACATTTCTCCACAAACACCACAATTAACACCTGAGACAAGATCCCAGAGAAGACAGTGATGCCCAAGACTCTTGAAAACCTCAACATTGTTCATTACAAATTAATTACAGAAGCTACGATCCTGCAGCTACAAACATATTAATATAAATATTTAGAGAAGAACACCTGAGGGAAGCATTACAATGATGCCGCAAACTCCGGTCTAAACTTGTAATTAAAGCAAGATTATACAACAAGTCAAACAAGCTCGCGGCTCTCTCTCTCTCTCTCTCACACACACACACACGCACTCACGCACCAGCAAGAAAATGGGAATGGAAAATCCTGTCTTACGAACTTGCTGGAGATCTACGACAATCACATAGATAAAACAAGAAACACAGGGCTGGGAGGATCGCATCTTCTTGGACTGCAAGAAAGCATTTGATGCAGTGCCACACCAGAGGTTAGTCCTAAAGCTGGAAGAGCAGGTGGGGCTAAAAGGAAGACTTCTCCAGTGGAACAGAGAGTAACTGAATGACAGAAAACAGAAATTAATCGTAAGGGATTAGATATTAAAATGGGAGAAAGTAACGAGTGGGATTCCACAAGGATTAGCACTAGGATCACTATTGTTCCTAATATATGTGATCCGCCTACCATTAGTAAAATGAAATTAATGAGAAGAATAAAAAGAGGAGAGGACAGTGATAAATTTCAGGAAGACCTCAAGAGATGTGGTCAAACAACAGACTTCTCAAGTTCAACCCAAGCAAATGTAAGAGCATGCGAATTGGAGAAGGTGAGGGCAGACCGGACACAGAATACAGCATAAGCTGAAAGAAGTAAATATCAGAGTGATAAAAGCGACCTGGGGACTAATATAACACTTAACATATCTCTAGAAATTCACTTAAACTGTTCACCTAGAAATAGGATTCAAAAACTTTAATAAATAATCTTCCAGAACTGTATATATGACATATGTTGGGTCAGCCGTTCAGTACGCAGCCTTGTGATGGCGCCCACACCTGGTCAGTCTCGTACAGAAGCTCGAAAAACCTCAAAGGTTTGCAACTAGACTCGTACCTGAATTGAAACAAATGTACACTGAGGAGAGATTGAATGAACTAAAGGTGACGACCTCGGCAAAGAGAACGAGAAAGAGGAGACATGATTTAGACATACAAAATCTTAAAGGGAACTTAAAGGACAGATAGGGAGAGACTGTTTGAATTAAGAGGACCATGATTAAGGGAACATAAGTGGAAGATAAAAACAGTCGAAACACAGACACAGACAGACACACACACACATACACACACACACACACACACACACACACACACACACACACACACACACACACACACACACACACACACACACACCACACACACCACACACACACACACACACACACACACACACACACACAGCAGGCAGACTTCATCAGCAACACAAACACAACAAGCACAGCACACACACACTCCACGCTGATGTGTTTGTTCGGACATAAGAATGATGGAGCGAAATAGAAGGTTTTTTGGGTGTGGGCGGAGGTAGAAGTTGTTGAGTTGTGGGTGGTGGTTGCTGGGAGTGGTGGTTGCTGGGAGTGGTGGTTGCTGGGAATGGTGGTTGATGGGAGTGGTGGTTGGAGAGAATGGCTGTTGGAGGAAATGGTGATTGGTGAGAAAGGTAACTGCCGGAAAGGGTGGTTGATGGGAATGGTAATTTACTTGTATGATGGTTGGCGGGTATGGTGGGTGGTGGTAATAAATATTAGTGAAAATGGATTTGGATAAGAATGGTGGTTTGGTGGTGAGTTGGGCGGTAAGATGGGGCTGGGATGGGTGATGAGTGTGTTGAATTTGATAGTGAAATGATGATAAAGTTCACCTATGGGAGGCTTTTACAATGCAGAAGTGATATAAGAAGGATGGAGTATTGGGAGAATATAGGAGAGGTGTAGAAAGTGGTGACGGAGTGCAAACGGAGAGCAAATGATAGATTGGATGAGGTGCTGTCAACAAATTTTGCAGAGACTAAGAAAAAGTTTTAGAGTAGATAAATAGGTTAAGAAAGCCTAGAAAACAAATGGATTTGACAGTTAAAAACAGCATAAGGGAGTTAGTAGGTAGAGAGCTGGAGGTATTGGGAAGATGGTGGGAATATTATGAGGATCTATTGAAATGTTGATGAAGAGAAGGAGGCAGTGATTTAATACATTGGTCAGGGAAGTATAACATCTTTTAAGAGTGAAGAAGAGCTAGATGTGAGTGTGGGGAAGGTGCGTGAGGCTGTGGGTAGAGTAAAGAGGGGTAAAGCAGCTGGCACTGATGGGATCAAGAAAGAAATGATAAAAACAGGTGGGGATATAGTTTTGGAGTGGTTGGTACTTTTGTTCAATAACTGTATGAAAGAGGGGAGGTACCTGAGGACTGGCAGAGAGCGTGCATATGAAGATAAGGGGGCAAAAGAGAGTGTAAAGTTTATAGGGAAATAAGCCTACTAAATATACCAGGTAAAATGTATGGTAGGGCTATTATTGAAAGAATTGAGGGTAAGACTGAGTGCAGGATAACAGATAATAAGGTTTTAGAAATGGTAGGGGATATCTAGACCAAATGTTTATAATGAAGCATATAAGGGAACTTTTCGTTGTTTTTATGGATTTAGAAAAGACATATGATATGGTGGATAGGGAAGCAATGAGGCACATATTGCAAGTGTATGAATAGGTAGTAAGTTACTAAATACTGTAAAGAATTTTTATGTGGATAGTGAATCTCAGGTTAGAGTGTGTAGGAGAGAGGACGATTATTTCCCAGTAAAAGTAGGCGTTAAGCAAAGATTCGTAATGTCACCATAGTTGTTTACCATATTTATACATGGGGGTGTAAAAGAAACAAATGCTAGGGTATTAGGGAGAGGGACGGGGTTAAAATATGCGGAATCTGATACAAAGTTACTCTTTGCTGATGATACTGATTAGTGGACGAGTTTGGGAGGGTGTGTAAAGGAAGAAAGTGGAAAGTGAACATAGATAAGAGTAAGTTGATAAGGGGTATTAAACGGTTTAGATGAAGAAAAATTGTATATCAGATGGGAGGGAGTATGAAAGAAGTGAAAGTGTTCAGATATTTTGGAGTGAACGTGTCGGCGGATGGATTTATGAAGGATGAGGTTAACCATAGAATTAATGAAAAGGAAAAAGGTAGGTGGTGCATTGAGGTATCTGTGAAGACAAAAAACGTTATCTATGGAGACGAAGAAGGGAATGTATGAGTACATAGTGGTACCAACACTCTTATATAAATGAGGAAGTATGGGTTGTAAATGTTGCATTGAGGAAGACGCTCATTCTGAGGACAATGTGTGGTGTAAATATGCAGAGAATTCGTAGTTGGCAAATTAGGAGGAGGTGCGGAGTTACTAAAAGTATTATTCAGAGGGCTGAGGAGGGGTTGTTGAGATTGTTTGAACATTCAAAGAGGATGGAACAAAATAGAATGACTTGGAAGGTGTATAAATCTGTACTGGAAGGAAGGCTGGGTAAAAAATTGGTGGGACGGGGTAAAGGAGGTTTTATGATCACGGTACTTGGACATCCAACAGGAGTGTGTGAGCGCGTTAGATAGGAGTGAGTGAAGGCAATGGTTTCATGACTTGACGTTC